ATTCTATTAGTATTTCTTATTTTGCGCAAAATTAGGATTGTTAAATTTATATTCATTCAATTTTGAATCACTAGGTTAAGCTTAAGAATTGTAGACTAGAGTTTTGATTGATTTCAGAAGTTTACTAATTTTTCGTGAGATTGATACATGGACTCAAATTTATGTAATACTTTGATGAAACATATACTAACGTTTATCACTAATGCTTAGAATAGGTCAAAAATCAGTTAGCTAACTCCAGGGTCAATGTGGTCGGATGGACTCTCCTAATCCTAATTTTTTGAAAATAGAAATAGATATAAGGTTGATGCTAACACCTAAGTCATAAACAACCATTCTAGAAAAATTGTCTCATGTAGCATGAGGAATGGTAAGACTATTTGAGTCCTTAAATTTCTATCAAAACTTCTTCTAAAATAAAATGTTAAATTCCCTAGTCAAAGCAACAGTATCAAAATCTTCTAATTTTATCTTATAATTCAAGACATTTTTCTTGAAGTTCACATAAATAAAGATCTATTCTAAGGTTTCAAAAGGCTAATATCTAATGGTGAGCTTCCTTAAAACACTAAAAATCTAGAAAAATGTTGATCTAGTTTTTTTTTCTTTAGCATTTATAGAAAGGGTGGTGGTGATCATTCATGTTCCTTACTAAGAGACAAGTTGTGTTTTTTCTAAGTCCATGTTTGGGTTCTCACTAGATTTCCTAGGCTTTGGATCTAACTTTATAGGACTACTTCCTTTCTAGGTATATCTTCCAACACCTTCCCACTTCTAAGTCCCACAACTTGCACTTACTCGTTTACTTTCTCCTTAAGATTTGATGTCATTGGGGAGCATTCCATTGTGTCTATTTCTTAAAAAATAAGCTAATTATCCAAGTTGATTCTTGGTATTTCTTATGGTTTTCATTTGGCTAATAAGTTGTCTCCCCAAATTTGATATTATCTCCTCCTAAGATTATTTCTATTTCTCAAACTGAGAATCAAAGTGAATCTTAAAGGATTTCTTTTTGTTGGGTTACTATTTCCTTTTGTGTTTCAATTTCTTATAGGGTTGCATTCGGTGTTCCCTACTGTCTATTTCCTACACCTAGCCTTGTTATTTTCTTAGTTGAAATATGGGTGTTTCTTTCAACTTGAGTTGTAGTATTACAATAAAGATTATCAATCAAATTTTTTAATTGCATTCAAGGTCTCTAGAGTAGTAGTGTTGGAATCTTCTATTAGACCATAGAAAATCTCATCACCCTAAGTCCTTTCATTAAATTTAGTCCAAAGTTGTGTAACTTCTTAAAAATGACGGCTACATATGTCTCATTCATACTAGCTACCTTCTTCAGAGAGACTCATTTATATGGCCAATAGAAATAGTTCATGACCATTTCCTCAATCAATTCATAGGCCTCCTCAAGTAGCATTGAGATAAAGGATCCATCAACTACAATTCTATGGTATACCTTAAAGATTCTACCAGTCCATTGTAAGAAGTTTGGATTATAAGCTAGTCAGGAATATTATGGTGTGGGCAGTTCTTATTTAGTTCTTTGAATCTTTCCAAGCTTCATAAATGAACTCTTAGCTAACAAGATGAAGGAAGTGATTTCGATCTTACGTTTGGTTTCAGCTTTAGATAGAGGAAAGATTTGGCCAAGAATCTTTGGGCTAAGTCATTTCAATTACTGATCAATCTTGATGCTAGGAATTCAACCATATCTTGTATTTTTGTCTCAGAAAGAAAAGAAATAACCTTTGTCTAACGGTATCGTCGAGGACATTGCTATACCCGAAATAGCACCTAGTTCTAAATAACTCATGGAATGAAGGTTTTGGTCAGTGGTACACCCCAAAATTGGTTGTTCTAAACCATCTAAATGATTGTAGATTTTCAGTTCATACAAATTGACTTCTATAAAAGGGTAATTAATACTCATGAGAATTTTCCTATAATGATGGGTTCAAACTCTATAAGAGATTTATGTTGGTATCTTTTGAGATTTGTCATTTCTAATTGTTTATTTTTTAGACTTTTGGATTTCTCATTTTTATTTATTAATTTTTCAATTCATAGATCAAATGTACTAAACCAACAAACTAGTCCTACACATGCAAATATGGACTGTTAACCAAATGACCCTACTCTAAAACAATGAGCACTTAAAAAAAATCTAAAACACACAAAGCAACTAACGCATAACACAGTCTAAATTAAAAATAAAAGATGCAATATTTTTTTTTGGATTTTTCACAACTATATAACAATCAAAATAATTAAAAAGTAAAAAAACAATAAAATAAAAAATAGAAACATTTCAAACATAAACTCCGAGTGTTTGACTAAAATTGTCTAAATTTAAAAAGTTGACTTTTTTTTTCCTGACATTGGTGGCAAAAATTATGGTGCCCGAAACTGCTACACTGACAATCATGCAAGTATGCATGTCGCTCAAGTAATATACAAAATTAGAGTTCACATGTCAATCATAAAAGGAAACTAATTACTTTCTTAACTTAGAAAATTCTAGTATACTAAACCGCTAAATATAGTTTGAAGTGTTCACATTTTCATAAGATTAAAAGTTTCTCAAATCTTAAAAAGATAGGAAACAAAACTAGATTTTGGAGTTTCTAATGGCGATGAAAAGCATACTTTTGTGCCTCGAATTATGTGAATCCTCAAAGTTTTCCTATGAGATACTCACATTGTTCTTGGCAATCAATATTACATCTTCCTTAGCTTATGTCTATGTCATAAAAAGCATTAAGAACTTGTATTGTTGTTAAAAGTGTTTAATCATACAAGATTTCCTAGTTATTCTTTAGTCCACTATCTAAGTCTCACTCTCCTACTAGCAGGGTATCTATTCGACTATATGAATGTGTCATGACTAACTTCTTTTTATAAATGGTTAGAAGTAATAGATCACAATGTGCATTAACATTTTTATTTTCTAGATTAGAAGTAAAGTATGATTAAAATATTAACACATCAACATGAATCTAATAAAGCACACAAAAGTGTCTAAAACTAATTAAGAAAACATCGATTCATTCATATGCCATAATCACAGGAGCATGAATTTAAGTTGGCTATTATGCATGATAGAATAAGCACAAGAAACTTCACTTATTTTAAGAAAACAAAAATATAAACAGGTACTGAAACTAAAAGCAAAGTTGATCTCTGCTCGAAGTACACCACAATTCTCACCGTATAATGTGCGCTATCTGGCAATCTCACCCGTACAAGCACTCAAGTCTCCCCCTCTCCAAACAATCACAAAAAAGCCTAGAAGCTTTCTCCCCAGAAAATCTAAGGAGAAAACCCTTGGGCTCACGAAAGAGAAGAATTTCCTAAGGTTAGGGAGGAGCCTCCACAACCAAAAGTGATTCCATGCCTTCATTATAAGTTCATATATATTTAGGGGACCAAATCCTACAAGCAATCCCCCAAATCTGTCAAACCACAGGTCCGGTCATAGGTGTTTTGAGGGCGTGCCACTAGATGCATGGGGTGCACCACTACAAGCATGGGCGTGCCGCCTTCTTAGTGCAGGGGTGTTGCCTTCAAAGGTAGGCAGCATGGCATGCATTACTGGCGCGGGAGTGTTGCGTTCTATGCAGGGCTACGCAACTGTGCTTGCTTAAGCGATGAAGCTGTGTCACCTTTATATGGCTCTTTTGTCTTCTTTAACTCCTTAGAGAACGCTCAACACCCGTGTCTTTCAAAACACGACCAAAATACTTTTGACAAGCGTAAAATTAACATAATCATGCAAAAAAATATAGAATTAATCACAAGAATATCATAGTTTTGCTTCGCATCATCCATCCCAATGGATATCTAACTCAGCAAACATATATTGGGGGATGACTTTGCTTGCTTAGTGTAACAATTGGCACGTTGGCATATCGGTGATTATTATTAGTGAAGATGTCAGCTCGGTAGGTCAATCTGATAGGCTAGCTTGGTGAAATAGTGTTGGGGGATCTGCCAGCTGAGCACAGTACATAGACAAGTCTTATGAAAGAATGCAGGCGTCGGAAGCTTCCAAAAGGCCCATTAACGGCAATGCTATTCAGAAAAAATTGTCGATTCTACCATTGACCTACGACAGCGAATTATCATGTAAATTAGGGAATGCAATGTTCCCATTGTTGGAATGTGGTAGAAAACTAACCATTCATGCCGTAATCTCTCCAAAATTAATACCCGGATTCAGCTGCAGCCAATGGATTGCTATGGGAGTTGGCTGTCGATTATTCGTGTAGTGGCCGTACTAATACGATGAGGTCAGAGTGGGCGGATTAATAAAAGAGATTCAAATCGAGACACATCAGAGATACTCGCAAGGCAAAACTAAATTTAAAAAATATATATTTATAATTAAGGCTTGAATCATCCCAATTAATTAATGGTTTCGTCTGACTACATAGACATGGTGGCTTTAATCGTTGAATCGTCAATTGGTCTAAAAAAATTCATCTCATGATCAGATCAGATTACCAATCACAATTCGATGGCAAAGAAACAGTTTTCCATCCAGGATTCCTTCTCCGCATCTCATCTCTTTCTCCCTCTCTGATGCTATGGACATGGCGACATGCACGTCGTACGACTGCTGACACGTCTACCCGTCGACCCACATGATATATAGCATGGGAGATACGCCACCTCTTTCCTCTTGCCTTACTTTGTTTAGTACGACCGGTGCGTTGTGTGGACCATATTAGGTATTAAAGGAGGATAAATGGGATCGATTGTTCCATTTTTATTAGTTTGTATTTTCTATAGATTATGAAAAGCTTCACTATTTTAGTATATATATATATATATATTAGTGAACGAGATAGAGATGTTCCCGGAGGCAACGGGGCCGAAACAGACAAAACCCCACCCGATCTCCCACATCGCTAGTTCCCACATCTCATTTACTTAACACATTAATCAGCTTTAATCGACTGTCGGTCTCGCCGTTTAGTTACCCCATAACGCATCATAACCTACACACCACAGGCTGCACCTCATTTATTCGACTACATATATCAAAAGAATACACAGGCAGGACGTACTTCAAGACTGACCGCTTTGTAGTTCGTGCACTGCTCGCTGGCCTTAGACCTCGATCGCTTTCTTCTTATCGAGCTAGCTAGCTTCCTCTCCTACTAACTTTTCCCATCCCGATGCAGAAAACTGATCTAGTACTGGTACGTGCAGAGCTGTGTTTTTAAGGGAAACCGCGCGCCTAATTGTCCTCGGTTCATATTTCTTACCCGTTGATCTGAAATAGCTAGCATATCTTCGCTGAACTGCGACGATGTTGCACTGGTGCGGTAATGGTAGCAGCGGCAGCACCACGGCGCCCTGCTCATTTTCCATTTTGTTCCCCGTTTCTGGGAAGCAAGTGATGGAGGAAGGTGTCGACGGCGGTACTGTCTCTTCATCTGTGGACTGCACGCTGACGTTGGGAACCCCATACACGCGCTATCTGTCCTCTTCTTCTTCTTCTTCTTCATCGGCAATGCAGAGTTCTTCATCGTCGACTTCCTTGTGCTGGGATATAACGCCTCAGCCGGGTAAACACTCTTCCTCGGCGAATGCTGGTGGAAGTTTCACGGGCTCAGTCAGCGGCAGGGGTGGCACTTATCTCAACGGCGATCCTTTCTTACTCGCCCGCCGCTGTGCCAACTGCGACACCACCTCCACCCCTCTTTGGAGAAACGGTCCCCGTGGACCTAAGGTTTGTCCGTGCCTTCACTATATTTTTTCTATGGAAAATGCTTTTTTTATATACGCGCGCCTAATTTTATGTAAGATTGTTTCACAGGCTTAATTAGTTATATAATTTTAAATTTTATCCGACACAAATTAACTAGTTTTGCAACATTTTCGTCCTGTTTCAAAACAATATTAAAAAAAAATTTATTTTTTAAGAACATGATTTATTAGAATCGATTATTTGATTGAACTTAGATATTATAAATTCAAATTACATCTTAAACGCTCGGAGTATTTTTAAAATCATCAAATCAAATGTTTATAATGTTTTTAATTACAAGCACCTCTAAATTGAATTGAAATTTATGACAATCTGTTTTGTTAAAAATGCAAAATTGTATTTTTTTGCTCTTGGCATTTCCTGCGCGCTGTTTTCTTAGCCACTGCAAAAAAGAATACTATACAATATTACCGATCAAGGATTTTTTTTTAACGTCTTGATAATGTACCGCAGTCGCTTTGCAACGCGTGTGGGATTAGGTACAAAAAGGAAGAACGGCGTGCAGCAGCTTCTTCTGCGGCAACGGTGGTACCTGTGGTGAGTGAGGCGATCGGCTACGGTTATACGAGAGGGCAGCCGCAGCACCCATGGAGTTGTTACACTCCGGCAACCGCGGCAGTGAATATCTCATCTGTATCTGTATACAACGGCGAGGCAGAAGAGCAGAGGGAGCTGTATCTCCCATGGAGGCTAAATGTTGTTCCTCAACAGTTTCAGGCGGTCGCCGAAAGGGGCGGACTTTCTCAATACCAGTAGACAAGTTGAATGTGCTTCTATATTAAATGTGGTTGATATAGTTGCAATAACTACATTTTCTTTGGAACTTCTTTGTAGTAGCGCAAGTCTTTCTTTTTACACTGCTGTGCCTTTCTGATGAGAGAATAGTTTCTTCATTAACATGGTATTTTCGAGAAGAAGATTATGTTTGTAAGATTTGAGTTTTTTTTTTAATATATATTTTGAATGAAATTCCTGAATTATTGTGAAAAAAAATTGATTGAAGAGTATCTATGTTGGCAAAAGTGGAAGGAAAAGCATGATTGGATGGAGCATGGGAAGGAGCAGGGTTCTCTGACGGGTGGAGATGTGTGGATGAGCAGGGAAGAACGTTAAAAGCGAGTTATTATTATGAAGGCGAGCCGAGTCCAATCAAATTGTCTCCGTACGTAGGTTGTTCTGGTTTCCTGGCTAGCAATTGTTGCTATCACAGGTCGCACATCTATCCATACCTGCGCTTCGCAGTATTTTGCTTGTATTCAGTTTTGCGCATTAGTGCCGCTTCTAGGTTCTTTTGCAAGATTTTCCATTGTGGAAAAATTAGAAGATGAATATTTTGAGTGGTGTAATTTTTCTTTTTTTTAGAAAATTTAAGTTAATCAAGATTATTGCTTAAAAACGTTTTGTTAAACGAGAAAAACGCAAGAATGTATTTTTAGAAGGTATTTCCCCGATATGGGGAATGCTACCCGGAAGCCGTTAAAATAATTTCATGCATCCCCTGCTTTCGTAATGCATTATAGTTTCATCTTGAATTGATTTTACGATGGTCCCTACTGCTCCCTTCGGCATCTCGCAGCAGACCACCACTGTCTTCGGTCACGTCACTTCGTTGAACCCGCAGGTATGTGATATTTCAAGTTAATAATAATAATAGTAATTATTATTATTATATATTTTTTATGTTGAATAACTCTATAATTATCAGTACGAAGCACTGCCTTCGAATAAATAAAAAAACATAGAATCATTGGTAAATATAGAAGAGAACAATAATGATAAGAGAAAGAAATCAAACGAAAGATTTCTGCCGATAAAAGAAGTTTAGTTTGTTTTTCATGCTACATAATAATTGATGATATGTTATAAAGGTACAGTTGGCTGCATGTATTGGAATAATGGATGACAATACAAATTTTTCTTTTTTATTTAATATGTAGAAGTGAAGATTAAATATATGAAATTTAAAAATTAAACTGAACTTTCAAAATCACAGAAAAAAGCTAGCCAGAATGCACTGTGTAATATTTCAAGAGATATTTTTAACTGTAGAGATAGATTTAGATACATATATATTTTGATGTATGCACTGTGTAATATTTCAAGAGATATTTTTAACTGTAGATCATAGAAAACTCTTTAAATAAAAAAGATAAACATTTTGAAGAAAAAAGCTAGCCAGAATGCATAGTTAAAAGCTTTTTCCATGGAATGTGAAAGTTAAAGATAAAATAAAAGCTTCATCGTTAGAATGAGAAAGAAAAAGATATTGAAGAAATCAAAGGGCGATATCAATTAGTTAAAAGCTCTCTTCCTTGACTGAGAAGATAAAGATAAAGAGGTTATTTGATTCAATATTTGAGGGGTATAAAATATTTATTTTTCATCCATTAATTTAGTTATTTTTACTTTTTGTTTAATGGATATTGTTTTGTATGTTTTCAGAATTAAGTGCAAGCATTTTAAGAATGCATAGTAATTTGCAAAAATGTGTTTTACTAAACAAAAATAAATTAATTAATCAATCAAATAAATGCAAAATGATTGACCAGCTCCAATCATCAACCTCTTTTTCACTTACTGTATTTACATTATTCACACAAAACGAAAATATATTAACTTTCTTGTAATTTTTATTACAATATATATATATATCTAATATATATAAATTTATTCTACATTCTTAAAAATGCATGCATCAACAGATGGAACAAAACAAACCCAAAGGTGCAAGCTTTCTTAAATAGTTTCCAGTAGTAAGTTGTTTTTTGTCCTTTTCGCGAAGATGCAGGCTAGCTAGTACTTGGATTTCTCTTAAAGTTTTATTTAAGATATAAGATGGTAGTGACTACAGTATTTAATTTGAAAGATGAAAGATTGGAAAAATAATTGTGGCGGGAATAGCTAGTTTCAATGGAAGCTAATAATCTATTATAATGAGAGGGGAGTAATTCATATTTAATTTGGCTTGCAACTCTTTTGAATTCATTTGTACCCATAAAAGTGACATTTATTTTTGGGTATACTACTCTGTTAAATGGGCGATTAGCATTTTAAGGTGGCAATCAGTGGCCAGTTAATCGGGTGACCGGTGCAGTGATAAATTTGTATTTTTTATTTTTCTTCTCTTCCCTATAGAAGAGCAGAAGGATGAGTGTTGAATCCAAATGTCCAATGGATTACATTGAACGGAAGGGAGGAACAGAAAGAGAGAGAGAGATTAAGAGAGGGAAAAGGAACACACTAATATAAGTTTTGAGAGAGTAAATGCAAAGGTTTTTTATTGGAGAACCTTATAAATTTCAGGGGTATCTAATAAAATTACGTGTTTATATTTATTTTATAAGAGACGTCACAATTTTTAAGCACATTTTTCTCATAATTGTAACCGATTTCAGATTATTTTACATTCATAACTGACATTGACACTTTCATATACAACTAAAGGATTTATGTAATTTAGCTTCTAAAAAATCTTACGCTATATACAATTAGATTTTTGTCGGATTTTCTTCGTATAAGATGTTAACGTTAAGAGGATGGTGGGTGATCGAATGTGCATCGAAATAAGTCGATGCCAATTGTTTGTGTTGATATTAGCGACCAAAAAGTTCGTTGTTAATGAGTTGTGATGTCTTCCGCTTCGACACAACTTTTAACATTTGTTTTGCGCCTAAATTTATAAGATACATATTTGTGTAGCCTGAGAATCAGATTGCATCGAATGGTGTTCAAATGAATGAATGATTTTCTTATCCATTATCGCAGCTTAGAATCTATAACACAAATGAGTACCAACAATAAAAAAGAATATAATGTAACAAATGTTAATCTAAATTCTAAAAAGTTCACATCTAATATAATATAGATTTGCATCTTAAAAAAGATATAAATACATAAAACTCATACTCTTCCTCTTCCCAGTCCTCCTCCCCCAAATCCATAGAACTCATAGGTCATTTTCCCTATGATCCACAATACTTTGCATCAGGCGGGCGGGATATGGTCTCAACTCTTTGCTGGTATTCATGCATCTAATTATGCATATGACAGAACTCTTCATTTATAGCACTAGCCGCCTAACAAGCTCCTCATGCTCCACCTATAGCGAACTCGAGCTACCAACAGAAGCATGGAAGAGCTCCGCCCCAATTTCTATCTCCTTTGTACCGAAGTTGTTGACCCTCCCCTTCTTCTTCCCCTTCATCTGTGGCTATTTGTCACCTCCCAAAAGAGCCCTTGTGGGTGGTGGGCAGCCCAGGACTTAAATACTGCTTTTCGGCCCTACACCTAGCCAATGTGGGACTATTTGTCCGTGACATTCTCCTCCACCCAATCAAGTGACGCCCTCGTCACGGATCGGCCCCACTAGTCCATGAAGAGTCCACACACCTGGCAGACAGTAGTCTGCTTTGATGCCACTTGTCACCTCCCAAAAGAGCCCTTGTGGGTGATAAGCAGCCCAGGACTTAAACACAGCTTTTCGGCCCAACACCTAGCCGATGTGAGACTATTTGTCCGTGACATATAGCTCCAAATCTGACAAAGCAATGGTAGATTGACTTTCACTGCTGCTAGAGAATATCAGAGTCTGGCTGGGAAAATGGCTCTCCCAAAGCTGCTTGAACTCCTCCTACGCAATTAAAATAAAAAATTAATAATAATAATAATAATTATTATTATTATTAAATTCAAAATAAATGTAGAAAAATATTTTTTTTTTTGCTTTATTAACCCACCCAGAGAGGTTGAAGACCCCTTGTTGCATCCTCTAGAGTCGATGCATCAGAACATGCAACTTTGCAGTGGAGAGCCGACGACCAAGCTCCTATTGCTATGTAGCATAAGAAAATGGTTAGTATTAGATAATTACATTGATAACTAATTTTTTGAATATTTAGATAATATTACTAGCCTCCGGTAATTATTTATTTGGTGGATTGAGCCTCCAATTTGGAGTGCAGGGCTCTTGGCCCTCTTGATTGTTCGCATCCGCTATTTCATCCACCTCTTTTCATACTCAATTGAGGCCCATGCTTTGTTCAACTTAGCTTAGATATACTCTTCCACCTAGATGGGTTGCTCCCCCTTCCTTTGGGCAATAGTGAACATATCACCTAGTCGATATCTGCCATGAACCTAATATTTGTGAAGTATCTAATGGCGATGCTTCAACAGCTAGCAGGACCCATGAAATTTAAAAATTGTGCAATATTGTTTAGAATAATAAAATAAATTAAAGTTAGTATTCTAATTCAAATTAAGTGATCTTACCTCAAATTTTCATAACCTCAAATCATGAGTCGCAAACGGGATCTACTTTTATGAGAGATACACATGATTGTATCCACTCTGATTGATGTCATGGGTGGAATAGGAAGAGTGGACCTGAAAAAGAAATATTAGATACACATATGATCGAGAATGAAAAATGAATTTATCGTAATGTTAGAGATAACTTATGGGTCTCCATTTGGCACAATATGTACCATGTGGAAGGTGTCTTCCCTCGAAGGGGTGGGAGTTGAGGGGCTTGGCCCATCAGAGGCGAGAGTTGGACACTAAGTGACAACTGGCTTGGTGTGGGCGCAAGTGCATGAGAGGGAGTTGGTGAAAGAGGGGCTGCAGCGGGAGCACCTCATGGCTAACACAATGCGGGGGGTGTTAAACTTGCTGTGATAATGCTCACAAAAGAGGACATGCCCTTTCCAATCTCTTTTACATGCTCCCCAAAGTGCCTTGAACATGAGGATGCTCAGGCGGCTCACTATTAGCACCGTCTGTTGTCATATGTAAATGGAGAAAGAAATTAATAAAAGTAGTACTAACAACATAAGTA